TCGACGAGATGACAAATATGACTAATCTGCACAGGAAAATAGAGATTATTCGAAAGGACGTATAGTTCTAAAAGGGATTAACTGAGCACTGGGAATGACGATGAGCACAAGAATACTTGGAGAAAAATTGGACTACTGCACCAGAACATAGACTTGAAAAAGAAATATGAAGGGATTCCAGAAAGGGTACGCAATAAGTTTGAATTAGTGCATTTGCCTAGTCAAATAGCATGTCAAAACATCCCTTGTCAAGTTAGCCATTAGTGAGTGGTTGGGCAGTATTGGATCCTTGCCCATGAGTCTATTGCTATAATTTAGTCTTTAAATTAGGTAAAGATTTTCGTTTGTTGTTCTAAAGGAATAAACTTAACGTATAGTGTATGGGTTTGAGAGTTAGCAAGAATAGTAGCCAAGTTTTAACTCTTCTTTTATCAAGATTAAAGTTTGTGTCACATTCTTCACCTTGACTAAATCAAAAAGTTGACCAAATTGTTTTCATTTTTTCTCTTGCTTGGCCGAACAAATGGAGAAGAAAAACCAAAGAGAGATTCAACTCTTTTTCAAATTTGCACTTGAATCTTGAGTTTCAACCAACTAATTTGCAAACTACTCTATAGAAATGATAACTAAGATGGATTTCTAGGTGTTGGTGGTGTGATTTTGGAGGAAGAAACTCTAAGTTTTCATCCTTCTTGAGGTTACAGGGTAACTTTGGCAATAAACTTTCCTTTATTGTCTAACGGATGAACTGTCTAAAACGGATCACTGGAAACATCCTAGGGCAGCGGGGTATTTTGGTCTTTTGACAGGTTACATTGATCCAATTGATATGAAATTTTGTAGGAAACTATAAAATATCATTCTCTACAACTTTCATTTTGTGCCAAGCCTAATTCGGCCTCTAACATCACGAACTGGAACCGGACAGAACTGAAGTCCAATTTTCCAGAAATCTGGAATTTTTTCGTTTTCAATGGAAACTTTCTTCATTTCTTGCTCCAATCATCACCAAAACCTCTTACATAAGCTTAGATACAACATATATTATCCATGCAACAAGTTTAGGTAGAAAATCATCAAACCCTAACTTACATTCATCACCTCAAATTCATCCCAACAACTTGGATAACTACTAATCTAACCAAAATATGAGTTATATAACAACTTAAGCAAAAATAAAAGGACCAAAGCCATGGTTAGACCTTATACCTCAACAAAAGAAGCTTGCAAGAGTAATACTTCACCTCCTCTTGAAAATTTTGGTTCCCCTAGCTTCCCAAAGTCACAACTCACCAATTAATCGGTTTAGAATTTTGTTTCCTCACTTGGATGGCTCAAACTCAAGATGAAGGAAGGTTTTTTCTTGCTCTCTCTTTCTCCTCTCTTGTCTCGGCCAGCCAGCAGAAAAATGAAGGGGAATGGTGCAAAATGGAGGATAAGAAGGTTGGACTTTTGGCATGGTCAAGTGGCCATAGGTGAGTGACACTTGTCACCACCAAAGCCAACCAAAATTTCTTTTTCTTTCCTTGCATTTTTAGCCCTAAATTTCGGTCAAAGCCAGCTGGAAATAAGGAGATATTTTGCTCAAATATTAATGAGTTTGTATGGTAAGAAAGAGGTGGTCAAGTGATGCGTTCAATCGGTAGTGCACGGTACCCGTCGGTTCGCAACGTTTTTCCTTAAATCACACGTACTAGGGTTTTTACTTCATATTCACTAACTTTTTATTATTGCTCCTAATCACATATTATTTCTCACCTAAAAGTCACTCTTGAGCACCAAATTTGATCCTCGCTTCGTACCGGATAATTACTGATGAGAATATAAAGACCAAGGCCCATTCAAGCACATGAGGAATGGGAAGATTCAAGTGAAGACTAGTTGATTGCACGAATGCTTGAATTTAGTAGGATTATTTGATTTTCCTCATTGATTTTGGTTATTTCTCGCTTTAGAAAGTCTAGGTAATTAAGCTAGTTTAATTGCGGCCCATTTGTTAGTAAGTAAGGCCCAAAATCTTTCTTAAGTATGTAGGGTAGTTTGGTCAACTTTTGGATTAGGGTTAATGCTTGTAAGGGCTATAAATAGCCCCACTTCCTCTTTGTTTCAGATCAGTTTTTGGCTATTAAATACAATTAGTGAGTTTTCACTTTCTCTTTGGCAAGAGAGTTTCCTTTGAATACTTGAGAATCTTCTCAAGTTATTCACCCGAACTTATCAATCGAGTATCTCCTTGATTGTGGCGTTCTACTACCTCCAATTTGGTTCGTTAATTCGAGTAGTTACGAGTTGAGATAATATCAAAATTGTTCGTGACTTCTAGGGATTAGTTGGGCCAAATTTCCGCTGCCTAAGCCATGGTGTTTTGGTCGTCTAGATCAGGGTTTCACATCAGTTGTATCAGAGCTAGTCGACAACCACCAGGTTATACCTTTTTTTTCGTGTATTTCGAGTCATATATGTTTATCCCAATCTGTTCGTTTGTTTAGAACCAAAAAAAAAAAAATTTTTCTGGTCATTGTTAAATTTCTGGTCGTGGAGTTGTTGAACAAAATTCTGTCCGCACTTGCTTCTCACCTTGTTGTTGAAGTCGTGTCCAGGTCTGTCCGTTTGAGCCTTCATTCCAAAAAAAAAAAAACAACAAAACAGAAAATTCTGGTCGCTAATCTTGTTGAAGAAAAGTCGGATTTCTTCAACAAGAGGGTTGGGAAAATTGTATCTTGCACGGCTGTTTTACCTTGTTGTTGATATTCTTGAAACTCTTGTATCAAATCTGGAATTGCAAACAAATTTTGGACCTAGCTCTACTTGGAATCCCAATTTCTGATTGGCACTTGAACAGCGTAGGAAACTCCTACACCAGCCGCAACTCCTACCCAAAAAGGTCCAAGAAGTCACGTGTTACACCTTCCAAAAAAAAAAATAGCCAAGTGCAAGATCGGGTAAGTCCTATCTAGGATCCAAACTTCCGCCATTATTTCCTTGCTTTATTTGAGTCAAGTTACGTCCCTCATTGAGTCGCATCAAGTCCGCATCAAGTCTCGTGTGTGTTACTTGTCTTAGTTGAGTCGAGTTCCAAAATCAGTTTTTGGCTATTAAATACAATTAGTGAGTTTTCACTTTCTCTTTGGCAAGAGAGTTTCCTTTGAATACCTGAGAATCTTCTCAAGTTATTCACCCGAACTTATCAATCGAGTATCTCCTTGATTGTGGCATTCTACTACCTCCAATTTGGTTCGTTAATTCGAGTAGTTACGGGTTGAGATAATATCAAAATTGTTCGTGACTTCTAGGGATTAGTTGGGTCAAATTTCCGCTGCCTAAGCCATGGTGTTTTGGTTGTCTAGATCGGGGTTTTACATCAGTTCCAAAATCAGTTTTCAGTCTCTAAAACTCATCCCACCTGCTAAGTGATCTTACCCTTGGTAAGCCATTGAACAACTTTTGAGCTAATCTAACCTCTTCAAAGGTGAAATCAATGCTTTGAGAATATTTGGCAAGCTTATAATTAGAGAGTTTAGTGTGTGAAAACACGAGTGTGAGTGAAACACGTAAGGGAGTGAGTGAGGTAGTTTCTACTAACGGTTTGTTGAGCCTTGCAGGTACTCTATAAACATGTCTCAAACTCATGCGACAAGTGACCCTTATGACATGAAACATGTTCTTGAAGCATTAACAGTCGCCATTGATCGCATGGCTCAGAGAATTGATACACTGGAGGATAAGGTGGAGCAATCAACCCTAGGCAAGAATGCCTCCAAGAGACCACCATATGTGGAGGAGTTAGGTGATTCGAACAATGAGGAGGACATGGCAGATGGAAATCGATTCCGGCATTATAAACGCATCTCTAATCAAGGGGATGATGAACTAAAGGGAATCAAGCTCAAAATTCCTACCTTCCCAGGGAAGTCGGACCTCGAAGCATATTTGGAATGGGAGAGGAAGATTGAGATGCTCTTTGACTGCAACACTACTCAGAGTCCCAAAAAGTGAAGTTGGCAACCATTGAGTTCACTGAATACGCAGCCGTTTGGTGGATCAGATTCGCACCAGACAAAGGAGAAATGAAGAACTACTCATTCGCACTTGGGAAGAACTCAAAAGGATCATGAGGAAGCGCTTCATACCAGCGTATTACCACAGGGATTTGCACCATAAATTGCAAACTCTTACCCAAGGAAGTTTGACAGTTGAGGATTACTTCAAGGAGATGGAGATGGCCATGCTACGGGCTGATGTTCGGGAGGATATAGAAGCAACCATGGCACGTTTCTTGAGAGGACTACACGCTGAAATTACCGATGTTGTGGAGCTCCAACATTATCTTGACATGGATGAATTATTGGACAAATCTGTGAAGGTGGAAAGAAGGCTCAAGAGGAGGGGTATTCCCCACCAAAGCTCCAGCGTCCAATCTGAAAATTGGAGAACTCCACCGTATAAAGGCGAGATTACCCACACGAGCGAGCAAAAGTCAGCCACGGCAAGTGGGGTTTCGAATGGAGCATGGGTGCCTGGTTCATCATCTTCAAAACCGACCCAAAGGGCCGAATTTAAGGCTGATCTAGGGCATCTAAACCTAGAAACAGCGAGACTAAGTGCTTTAAGTGTCAAGGTTTCAGTCACATCGCGTCCCAATGCCCAAACCGAAGGGCCATGCTCATGCTTCCAAGTGGTGAAGTGCTAACGGATGAGGAGGATGAGTATGAAGGCATGCCACCATTGGTTGAGGAAGAAGAGATAATTGCCCCTGACCAACCAGTTGGACTAGGCCTTGTTACAAGGTTGGCATTGAGTGCTCAACGCACAAATGAAGAAGAGCAGCGTACCAACATCTTCTACACCGATGTCTAGTTAACGGGAAAGTGTGTAGCTTGATTATCGACGGGGGAAGTTGTACCAATGTCGCCAGTGCCTTATTTGTCAAGAAGTTACACCTACCTGTCCAAGATCACCCTACACCATATAAGCTTCAATGGTTTAGTGATTGCGGCGAAATGCGAGTGTCCAAGCAGGTTTTCGTGAAGTTTAACATTGGGAGATATGAGGATGAGTTGGTGTGTGACTTGGTTCCTATGCAAGCTGCCCATCTTATTCTTGGAAGACCTTGGCAATTTGATCGCGAGGTTACTTATGAAGGTCATTCCAACAAATACTCGTTCATGCATAAAGGGACAAGGGCCATACTTGTTCCACTCTCACCTACACAAGTTCGAGAGGACCAAAATGTTTTACAGAGGGAATGGGGGTTGGATCGATTAGAAGGCAAGGAAAAGAAAGGGCGAACATTGATCATGCTCGCTAAACCTGAGGACAACATCGGGCACTGGGAGCTGGATCGTTCCACCTTTGTGGTATTTAACGTGTTTTCATTTGTGCAGGTTGTTCGTGGTCAGATATCCTTCATCTTGCAGTGTGCAATACCCGCAACCATAGAGATCTGCGAAGAGAGTGCTGGTCAAGTAATTCCAACCAACACTAGTCGAGTTACATTGGCCTTTGATGCAGTTTTTGCACATCTTGATGTGTACAACTCGCAGCCCAACCAAACCTTGGTTCACGCGGGCGTCCGCTCACGATCCACCCATAGGGTTGAGACGTCGCTTGTGTGACCATTTTCATGGAAATCTTGCTGTCTGCAACATGTATCTACCACCACCACGAGTTGTCCTTGTTCCACACAAGGATGTCATGATCATTCTTCGCTTAAGACGGCGACATGCAGGCTGCTTGGTGACTATACACATGCTCTCATCACTTTTGTTTTGTAAGAGAGTCATTATTTGGGGACAAATCGCCTTTAAGAGGAGGGGAATGATGAGAATATAAAGACCAAGGCCCATTCAAGCACATAGGGAATGGGAAGATTCAAGTGAAGACTAGTTGATTGCACGAATGCTTGAGTTTAGTAGGATTATTTGATTTTCCTCGTTGATTTTGGTTATTTCCGCTTTAGAAAGTCTAGGTACTTAAGCTAGTTTAATTGCGGCCCATTTGTTAGTAAGTAAGGCCAAAATCTTTCTTAAATATGTAGGGTAGTTTGGTCAACTTTTGGATTAGGGTTAATGCTTGTAAGGGCTATAAATAGCCCCACTTCCTCTTTGTTTAAGATCAGTTTTTGGCTATTAAATACAATTAGTGAGTTTTCACTTTCTCTTTGGCAAGAGAGTTTCCTTTGAATACTTGAGAATCTTCTCAAGTTATTCACCCGAACTTATCAATCGAGTATCTCCTTGATTGTGGCGTTCTACTACTCCAATTTGGTTCGTTAATTCGAGTAGTTACGGGTTGAGATAATATCAAAATTGTTCGTGACTTCTAGGGATTAGTTGGGTCAAATTTTCGCTGCCTAATCCATGGTGTTTTGGTTGTCTAGATCGGGGTTTCACATCAATTACACTACGGATACACGTGAAAACCCTAACTTGCTCCAACTTGAAAACGAAAAAATGAAACCCTACTTTCTAGGTTCATTTGCACTTATTGTGGAATGATTGGGTAGTAGGGCTATAGTAAATGAATAATTTCCAAATAAAAGGGCATTTTTTTTAAGAAAACGTGAGGGATTTTACAATTCCATAAATTGAATTTAGGGTTTCGATTGAAATATATGAGAAATTTGAGAAAACGGTCAGTCACAAGTGAAACTAGGGTTTTGATTATACTTTATTTCTAGAATTTAGGGTTTCTAGTCTGTATAACAAAACAATAAAATAAAGAAACCTTAATATTCTCTTTGAGGCTAACAAAAGATGGTCCTAAAAGTTGGGGTATCACAGAGTGCTAACTCCTCGACCATATGGTATACTTGAGTATTACCTTTTGTAACTCTGAGGTGTTCGGGCCCGGTAAGGGTGAACGGTGGAAGGATTTGGTGTAAAGAGAGGTCTACGGTCTTGTTTCTTTTCTACGGTTGACGGAGTGTTAACGGGTACGATCAAGTACGGCAATTGGAAAACGGCCCTTGAGGGCCGACCGTATCCTTTTATATATGGTTGTTATGATGAAAGCATTCGTGTGTTTGTTGGCCATGCATAGTGTGCTTATGAGTTTTGGTACCTCACGAGCGTAAGCTCACCCCCGTTGTTTTGTTTTCCTTACAGGGACACTTTCTGAACCAAGTTTTGAGAAAACGAGTTGAGCTGGTTAGGTCCTTTTGTTTTGGAATCGCTCCTCGAAAATTTGGAAAAAACCTTGATGTATTGGAATTCAAGTATCTTTTGAGTTGTATAATGTAAATATGGGTTTAATAATTGAATCTAATCATTTGTATATGACATGGATATGTTGTGACATGTATATATCAAGTTAGTGTTTAATTGCTCTATGTGTTTGACTTGATTTGAGACGAGTACCGAATTCGAGCGAAGTAGGAAAATGTTGATGAAGTTACTGTTCACCGAATCTGGTCAAGAATCCGGCCAACTTCTGGCCGGATATGCAGGGGAAAGGAAAAACATTTGGGTTTTTGTCCTTTGGCCGCAATCCGGCTAGGACAATCCGGCCAGTGTTTGGCCGGATTGACAGGGGATTTCGACCCCTTTGGCATTGGCCTCTGCACATATCCGGCCAGATAGTACGTGGCTTTACTGTTCATCGAGGCAAATTTTCATTTTTCGTTTTCACGACCAATTGAGTGCCTCGAGCGCTGTACTTTCATTTGTGGTCCCAAATTTGGAAGAAGAGCAACGTTGTGATGCCCCCACTTCTCCTTGAGGCGAACCAAAGGGTATCCGCGGATGCCTGCCCAACTCTTGCCAGGACTCACTACAATCCACAATTCAAAAGTTCGAAATATTTCAATAATACTTCAATACATAATAAAAGTACTCCAAAATATCTCACACTTACAATTAATCAGCTTTCAAGCTTAATACAACCAAAAGAATATTTACTACAGGCATCTGCTGTAATACAGCTTAAAGTCTTCAAGAGAAAATAATCTAGTACTATTCACGAGCACTCTTGGTCTCGAACCCTGTTAAAGAAACCCAAAATGTGGGATGGGCTACACAGCCCAGTGAGGTTCCAAGACATTCTAGCAGTTCTAATAAATCACGTAAGTTGAGCATATCAATGTATGGTTCAAGATTACACATTGGCATATTAACATGAGACAATAAACATTGTACGAGTAATTTGAGCATATCACAGGTATGGCACATTTGCATGAAACGGTTATCATTATGTAAAATAAACACACATTGAAGGATACGGTGTTCCATTGGAACTATTTCGGTCAACTGCACCTTATAACTTCTGGTCCCATGGTACTGTCTGGCCATCGCCTTATCCCTCCATTGGTAATATTCGAGTATACCGAAACGGTGGCCCAGGGTTTCAACCTACCCGACCGAGCCCAGTCCTGGCTCGAGTAGATTAGTAACCAAGGGCAGGGCCCAAGTTCAGCTTAGAGCTTACAACATGCACAAGTAATCAAATAACTTGGCTAACGGTAAAAATTTATTCTTTTGGTAGGTCGAGTGAGATAAAGTACAAACTCGCTTTATAATAGTGGACAATTTCATATGAGCAATTACTAGCAACAATTAACACATAAACACATAAGCAATATTTGATAATTTCATGTGAACATGTAATTTATGGTAATCAAGTAATCAAGTACCAGGTAATCAAGTAGATAGGAAAACGGTAAGTAATTACGGTAAACGGTTAACGGTTGACGGTTAACGTAGTAATAACGGTTAATTGGTAGACACTAGTCATTTTAATAGGCCGCCATTGGCCGTTTCCCACTTTTACCACTTAAGAGTCGAGGAGATTCACTCCAACTGACTTATACAGCCATAGCATAATTAATCATTTAAACACACACATAAATATGCAATTCAAGTATTTCATGTCGAGTAATTCAAGTATACATTACTTAAATATGCATGAGTGTGGTAAATACTTAACATGTAGCACTTAACACTTAATGATCATTGTGACGGCCCCACCTTCCCCTAAGGCGAACCAAAGGGTTTTAGCGGACCGCCTGCCCAGCTCTCGCGGGACTCAGTCGTTCACTACAGTCCTCAAATAGATTACAATATAAATCTCAAATATTACATCAAATTCTCCAATAATTACATGTCACAAGCGAAGCGGAAACAATTCCCAACTATACATAAAATGATTTCCAAATCCAAACTGTACAAGATATATGCCATCCAATCACGTGAATAATTACTACAAGCCTTCCTTCGCCACGAGCCTTGTGGAGGGGAACAAAATATTTTTGGAGTGAGGTAAAAGCTCAGCGAGTAACCAGTAAAATCAGTAATCAAATCAGTTTCACAATAGTTCATTTCAATAATGTCATGAATCAGTAATCAAATATACGTTTATTGCTCTCGTGAGCCAGTGAAATCCTTGCACTTAAACATCCAATGCTCAAAATGATCCAGTAACAGTAAACAGTGAGAGAGGGAGCCATTTGCTCCAAATAAACAAGAGTGGAAACGTTGGTGTTCAGCACAAGACTTCCCAAGAATTCAGTGAAGTCAAATCATGTCATGAACTCACATGCAAGCACGCATGATATGCAATCGAGTAAATAATGCAAGAAAACAATTCATAAGTAGCTTTGGAAATAGTTTGAGGTCACTCACCAACCACAGCTCTTAATCCTCATCCATCATAGATAGTTTTCCTCGATCAAGTCCAAGCTCTTCATTCTACCAAGAATTAACCCAAACTCACAGCGATTAAACGTTCTCAAAGATTGGACAGCACTTCCCCTTAAATTCCTTATTTTCCATCCTACAAGACATTACAAATCACATCTCAACTCAATCACAATAAAGCCCCAAAGTCATACAAGTACGAAATCAAACTAGGAAAATGTCCGGAAATGAAGTTTAAGTTATAAACCAAACGACAGATTTGCCCGTCGCTTTGCATAACGCCCACAACTAAAGCTACACTTATCGGATTGCGGTGAAATTTATACCGTTTCGAAGCTAAGACAAAGGCCTACAACTTTGATGAAGACACCTCAGTCCAGTTTGTAATGTATCTAAGTCAAAAGTCCGGATTACAGAACCAAAATCTCACATTCAGGCGAGTTAACCTCATTATGCGTAAACAACCATAACTCAGGCTACCAAAGTCCAAATGAGGTGATTCCAGGGGCGTTGGAAAGCTAAGATACAAGGATATAAGTCTTAAGAAGGCAATGACAACCAAATCAGTAGTATTCCTGGTCAAAACAACCAATTACAGAAGCTGATTAGCATGTTCAGATAGAAACAGGGCAGCAGGGGTATTTCAGTCTTTTGATAGGATACGTTGCTCCGATTGATCTGAAATTTTGTAGACAACTATAAAACACCATTCTCTATAACTTTCATGTTTTGTGCTAAGGCTGATTCTGTAACAGCCCCACCTTCCCCTAAGGCGAACCAAAGGGGTTAGCGGACTGCCTGCCCAGCTCTCGCCAGGACTAACGGTGCAGTACAAAGCGATCTATCACGTTTTGAAACTTATAATGCGCGCAACAAGGCAAAAGGGCAAAATAACCCAAAATAAAAGAAACGAAATCCAGAGTCGGCCACGAATAGTAACCGACCCGTCCGAAACCCAACCAAACCTCGAAAACATATACAAC